TGCTGCTTTTAAGACCAGGCACCAGACCAATACAGGGAGCAAAGCTAATCCCCCTTTTGGATTAGATTTAGGTTGGCTGAGCTCCCTGATCTACTTAACTGCCCAGTTGACTGGGATTAACTTAAACTGCCGTGGAACTGTACTACAAGAGCAAGCTTGGAGTTGTTCTAGTTTACACTGGCTTAAAGGAAGGAATGAATCTATGCCTTTATGCCTGTAGCCATGATAGGAACTAGGAACCTGTCTTGTTTTTCAGCATTACAAGCTGCATTAAGAACTACTCCCTTGTAAACAAGGACAGCCTCAGTTTGCCATGTCATAACTCCAGAGATGGAAATTTACAGATAGCCATTTTCTCCCCTGCAGTGCGGTCCCAGATCTCCACCATCACTGTGGCCACCTTCAACACTACCCTGGCCTCATTCAATGTGGGCTATGCAGATTTCTTCAGCGAGCACATGAGGAAGCTTTGCAACCAGGTGCCTATCCCTGAGATGCCCCATCAACCGCTCGCATGTGCCAACCTCCCACGGAGCCTGACAGACTCCTGCATCAATTACAGTTGCCTGGAAGACACGGATCACATTGATGGAACCAACAACTTTGTCCACAAGAATGGCATGCTGGATCTCTCGGTAATTGGCAAGGAATGAGGAAAGCCAGGTCCCTCTTCTGTCGTTATAGCTGTACCATTGAGATCAGGGTTTTGATGGGCTTTTCCTCCACCTCTTTATTTGACTTTTCTCAGCAGTACCTAAAGGTCAGTCAGATACATTGGTGCATATCATAAAAGTCTCCTCTGAGATGCTGCAACTCCTGTTACTCCTTGCAAGGAGCGCATGTGCATGTGGAATGCACACATCAAATCTTAAGTGATATTATTCAATGGCTGTGTTCCTGGGGCATGCGCCAAGTTTCTTACGAAACAGTATAAAATGGAATAGCACCTTTCTTCTAATGGCACCTTAAAACTCACCTTTTCTGCATTCCCTTTAATGACTTGACAGCTCCTGGTGCACTGACACAGTGTTCTCAGGCTCACAGATGTGAGCCTCATCTTATGGTTTCCTTTTCTGCCTGACTGTGCTCAGCCTGTGGTTTCTTGTCTTACACTTAGATTGTGGGCTCTTGGGGGTGAGGTTTGTATGTACTTCATTCTGAGCTTTTACTGTGCCTGCTATAATGAGTCTCAGGTCTGTGACTGGAATTTCCAGGCACTAAATAGTATGAGAAGAGAAAATAAGTCTAACTTTAAATATGATATTTGAATCCCCCAGGTGGTCCTGAAGGCTGTTTACTTGGTCCTGAACCATGACATCAGTTCCCGGATTTGTGATGTGGCACTGAACATTGTGGAGTGCTTACTTCAGCTTGGTGTGGTGCCCTGTGTAGAGAAGGTTCGGAGGAAGAGTGAGAACAAAGAAAATGAGGCCCCTGAAAAAAGACCAAGTGAAGGATCCTTCCAGCTCAAAGGGGCTGCTTCTGGTGGTTCAGCTTGTGGATTTGTGCCTCCGCCAGTTAGTGGAGCAGGAGATGGAGGGGAGGAAGGAGATGGTGGAAGTGGTGGAGGAGGTGGAGGTGGAAATGATGGAGGTGGTGGTGGTGGAGGAGGAGGGCCATATGAGAAGAATGACAAAAAACAAGAAAAGGTTTGTCTTGCTTCCCTTTATACATACAATTGGTCTAGATATAAGCATACATGCATAAGCATACAAAAGATCTAGATACATACAGAAAAAAGATGTAGATCTCTTAAGACAGAGCATGCATGTGAATGCAACTGTCCTTCTCTTTTCCATCCTTTTTTTTTAATTATTTTTTTTTTTGGCACCGCAATCACAAATTAATTTGTTTTGCTATGGTCCCCACTTGGGGTTCCACTCAAGAAACACAATTGGGAATTCAAAGACTGTAACTACTCCAACAAAGCAGCTGCCAAAAGCAGAGTTTTGAGCTTTGTATGGACATTTTCAATATCTTTTCTAAGTGTGTGAAACCCTCAACCACAATGATTTTACGGGGGGGAGGAAGGGTGTTAGTATTCATAGCTTTTTAAGAAAAAACAGAATCCAGTGTGTGAGCACAGTTTGTTTTCCCTAATGGCCAGAAAGAATACATTTTTCGTATTGCTATGAGATCTCACCAAGAGATGGTGTTGCTAACCTCCAACTTCACAACTAGTATTAGCGAATACATAATGCATTGTAAAAAGATACTTGTCTTTCTGCTCAAGCAAGCCAACTCTCTGGGGTTTGGGCAGAATTTTTTGAAGTAAGTGCTGAACAATATTTATAGCAATATGTAGGGAGCTTCATATTTATAGCACGACCTTTTGAGGGGAGCTGAAAGGGAGAAGGCTGGTCCCTAAATCAGAAAAATAATCAGAGTAAACATTTCAAGAGTAACAACTCAATAATGGAGCGTCTGAGAAGAGAAATGGACAGCAACTTGTTAAAAAGAAAAATGCTAGCAAAATGCCAGTGGTTGTGCCAGGGTTTCATGCAGCCTTTCCCTCTGTAACTCTCAGGATGAAGGCCCATCGCTCAGCACCCATAGGCTGGCACTCACAATGCTGATCAAAATTGTGAAGTCCCTCGGTTGTGCCTATGGTTGTGGAGAAGGACACCGAGGGCTCTCTGGAGATCGCCTGAGACACCAGGTATTCCGGGAGAATGTAAGAGAACTAAAGCTCATTAAAGTGTCCCCCCTGTACTTCTGACATCAGCTGCTGAGATTTGCTGTCTGCACCCTCTGTAGCTTTCTCTGTACTGGCAGTAAACGTGTTGGTCTTTGCCCCAGCTCACAAACTGTGTTACAGCCCAGCTGTAGCACTTTTTCAGCTATTGTGTTGCCTTCCAGCCTCTGGGGCTTGCTAAGAGCACACGGGAGTCCCAGGGTACTTTTGAGCACCCTACTGGATGGGTTGTCTGGGAAGGGACAATACATGGGAGAGAATCCCCTGTGTGAGCTGGTGTGCGTGACTTCTCACACTGACCATACCCCAACAGAGTATGCTATTTACAAGAGGTGCCGCTATCCTGGACTGCATATCCAAAGTCTAAGGTGTACTTATGTCCAGTTTTCCCAGTAGTGATTATAACTAGGTGCTGCTGGGCTGCATCATCAACTCCTGATAGCTGGAGTGCACTGTGCTTGCAGGCATGTTAGAATGCTGCAAGGAAGTAGAAGGCTCATGTCCTGTTGAAGGGCAGGGTGGATGGTCACTACTGATTCCTTACATTTTTTATTTTGCCCAAGATGAAGCAGTGGAAAGTGCCCAGGTGTAGTCCAGACATCTTACTTCATCCAGAAGAATTTGACTCCCTCAGGGAGCCTTTGAAAGGCTTTCTCCAGCACATGCCTCCTCCTCACCTTCTGTGCTTCCAGCAGGAAGCACTTTTCATGACTGTAATGAGAACTGACACTGTATCCATACATGGTGTGGGTGGGAGCCAGGTCCTCCTTCGTGACTTATGGTTAGCCTGAGCTATGCCAGCAGAGCTACAGTTTGGTTCTGGGTTCTGAGCTAGATGGCTCAGAGATGGATTGGCTACCTCCACAACATGTAACATTCTGTTATCTAGACTGCTGGGTACTGAGGAGACTGCAGCAACATCAGTTCTGACACAGTGGGACAAGATGGGGTAAGAGAGTCCCAGTGCTAGCAGTAGAAAGGTTCTGCACAGAGCACTGGTAAAACATGTACTGCATTTGTCAAAATGTCAGTTAGGCTTTCATGTTGTGTTGGACCTGAGCCAGCAAAACATTTAGGCCTATACATAACATTAAGCATAAACTGTAGATCTCTTGGAGGTTCTTATCACACTCACTGAATTTATGGAAAGAGATTTTCCTACCCGTCTAAGTCTGCTGCATTTTCTGTGCATTTGTCTGGCCAAACTGCTTTGCATGCACCATTTGTGTCGACTGCATGGACAATCACGTCTGAGTTTATTGGGAAGTTAAGCATCCTGCTGTAGGTAGCATATGTATCAATTGATCAGGAGGTATAGGTGCATCAAATGGGTTGGGCCTGAGCCAGAGGCTGAAAAGCAGATTCCTAAGGCTAAGAACCTGTTTCACCAAAGGAACAAGCCTTGACTGAGGTGGTACATTCCTACTTCAGTCATATTCGGTGAGATTTTACCTTGGGGCTAGGGAGAGGAGGAGAGGCTTGAGACATGGCTGGCAGTGACTTCACCACCACCTCCAAATAGTGGGACCTGTACTGGTGCCTTCTTGGTGCCTTCAGCACTGTCTCCTTGTTTGCTTCAGAGAACCTGTTGTCTGTTGCAGGACCTGAACCTTCTGGCTCATAGGAGAGGTTAATTTAGACAGCACAGCAAAGCACAGGCTAAGCAAGAGCAAAAATTACCCTGCTCCTATGAGCAAAACTGGAATGTGTACTTTGATGTGACTTGATGGATATCATTGCAGGCTCAGAGCTGCCTCACAAAGCTGTACAAACTGGATAAGATGCAGTTCCGGCAGACCATGAGGGATTATGTGAACAGGGACTCTCTCAATAATGTGGTGGATTTCCTGCATGCTTTACTGGGATTCTGCATGGAGCCAGTCACTGACAGTAAGTACAGCTGGTAGTCAGAAACTCTCACTTGAATAACAGTACCATCAGGAACAAGAAATGCCTTTCCTTTAAAAAAAAAAACACATTAATTACTATCCTCAGAATATACAGACTGTATCCTCAGCCAGTGGGGGTCAGGGGAGTTGAATCTCTTCAGATTTGAACACCCAGTGATCTCACCTAGTGATCTTGCATCACCTAGTGCACCTGAAATTGAAGACCTATTGTTCATGGCTCTTTAAAGAAAATATTTTCATTCAGCTAAGCCTTAGGTAGGGAGTTTTCTGCTTCATGACATGACCAGGCACCACCTGGAATGTTTAATCCAAGATTTGTTCTGAATGGAAATACAATTGAGCATTGAAACCCCCTGTGGTGATTCAGGTGAGGCAGTAAATAGCAAGAATACATTGAATGTCCAAGAACATGAACACATAGATGCATGTGCCTGCAGTTACAAGTGTGTGTGTGTATGTGTGTCTATGTGCATATATGTATATATGTTTTACTTTAAAATTAGAAACAGTATTCCAGGTGCTATACGAATGACCAAATATTAATGCTTTGTCACTGCATTCAACAACAGCTAACAATGATAGATCACAGCCCACCTCTCATCTCAGGCATTTCAGAGAAAGCATAAAAAAATATTATATAGCAACTTTTGTAAAGAAAATGCCTATCTCTGTTTGATGGGTGATCCTGGGATTGAT